GTCTGACCCCCTGGGCAGCTGCACCTCCACGTCTGACCCCCTGGGCAGCTGCACCTCCACGTCTGACCCCCTGGCAGCTGCATCTCCACGTCTGACCCCCTGGGCAGCTGGACCTCCATGTCTGACCCCCTGGGCAGCTGGACCTCCACGTCTGAACCTCTGGGCAGCTGCACCTCCACGTCTGACCCCCTGGGCAGCTGGACCTCCATGTCTGACCCCCTGGGCAGCTGCACCTCCACGTCTGACCCCCTGGCAGCTGCATCTCCACGTCTGAACCTCTGGGCAGCTGCACCTCCACATCTGACCCCCTGGGCAGCTGCACCTCCACGTCTGACCCTCTGGGCAGCTGCACCTCCACGTCTGACCTCTGGGCAGCAGCAGGCCAACACTTGACCCACTGGGCAGCAGCAGGCCAACAGACCCCGTCTGACCCCCTGGGCAGCAGCACCTCCACATCTGACCCCCTGGGCAGCAGCAGGCCAACACTTGACCCACTGGGCAGCAGCAGGCCAACAGACCCCGTCTGACCCCCTGGCCAAGTGTTCAGGGGGTCAGATCGGGGTCTGCAGCTGCACAGAGGCCTAGGATTAGCCTCTGCTAATCCTCTCTCCCCACTCTATAACCTGGTGCTGTCTCCTACTCCAGTTCAGATCTTCCTCTGCATGAACTGTCAGACTCCGTCGTGCTCATCTCAAAGACCTGCCTTCACCCTGACTGATACATCTTCCCCGTTGTCAATAAAACCTTAAAACTTCATACAGTGTCGGCTTAAATTACTGGGTTCTCCATGCTAAAAACAGAACACTCAGTTTTTTTTTTGAATGATCGCAGAACGAATGGCTCAACGTCACTAATGCAGATGAAAGGATGTGATTTACCATAATATGGAGTCAGCTGAATGTGAACAACAAAAGTATAAAACTTGTTCGCATCAATAAAGGTGTTTGGTTGTAGCTTTTTTTACAGAGCATATAAACCCCATGAATATTTTAGTTTTCTGTTAACTTACGGTGAAGGCTGAAGGAAATGTTGATGACTCTTTCATCTGTGAAGCTCTTCAGGTTTGGGATGGAGGCGCATTTAAGGTGTGTGGATGAGGGGGAGTCTCCCATGTGAATCCAGCAGATGGTCTCCTTAGCATAAATGAAGTCCATGGCCGTGGTTTGCTTGGTGCTGATGGACAGAGGGCTGTGGACCGTGGAGCCGCTCAGGGAGGTGGCTTGGATGTTCTGGGAGTTGGCTATCAGGAGGACAGGCAGCCGCTCCACCGGAACTGAAAACGGAGCATAGATATCTTCTGACAAGAGCAACATGGAATGATTTACAGTTGACCTATTTATCTAAAGGATCCATTTCATCCAGCACTTATATGTTTGCATAATGTTGTACACAGTTTCTGAGTCAAAAGGGGCAACAGGGGAGTTCCTAACAACCGATTCCTACATATATTCAATTTTCAAACTTTTTAGAACACAGCTTTCATGGTTTTTTATACTTTGTTATAAATTCTGGCTATTGGATACATTTCCACATGTTTTACTGTCAACATCTTTCAATAATCAAGGGGCATTAAAAACCTGCAGTCCCCTTTGATTTAGCAGTGGTGCAAATGACTGTTTTTCTATTTATTATGGCATCTAAACCATCTTAGATAAGCTCTTGTCTAAACAAATAAAATTCATAAGATTAATTAAAACACAGTTTTTCACTGAAACACATTAAAACACAACTTTAACACCAACTTTTGTTTCTAAAATTAAAAACAGCAGCATTACAATAAATTTCTGGTATCTGAATCTAGTTTAAACTATAAAGTATTGATTTTTAGGATAAAAGAACAACAACAAACAAAAAAAATCACACAAATTGTTCAATTTCGTTAAATAAAATTGATGTTTCTGGAAATGCTGAGTTTTATACTTTTGGAAACAAAATGAATGATGAAATCATGAACATTTTTATTCTATGCATTCCATTTCAATGCTTAATACGACTGGAGGAACGTTAATGGCCTATTCCACGCAGACTTTGAAACCCTGATCAAAGGGGGGCTGGGCGCCAAAAAATAAAAGTAGTGATTATTTTTTTCTGAATTCTGTTTGGATAAATTTCCCTGAAAAAGTCCAAGTTAAGGCATTGCTTCAAAGGCAGTGTAATGGAACTGTTATCTTTCGGAAATTCTGATTCTTGTCCTTTACATATGAGAAATATAGTGCAAATATCTTCCATTCTTAACAAGACTTCAAGAATTTGAATAAATAACATTTCAGACTTTTCGAGGCTGTATATAGAAACCCTGTAACTTCACTCAAAAAGAGCCAAACCCCCAGCTCTACAGAAAGATTAATGTCTGTTGATTCTCACCATTCTTGGCTTTGCAGGAGCGGTTGTCTGGCTGCAGCAGATATCCCTCCACACAGGAACAGGTGTAGGAGCCATTGGTGTTTGCACAGGTCTGACTGCAGGTCCCATACACACTGCACTCATCAAAGTCTGAGCCAAAGAAAGCACAGATGGCCACGGTGTTCGTTAAAGGATGTGTTTCAAACCGTAATAATGGAGAGAGAGAATAAAGCCTTAGAAAACTACAAGTAATGAGTATGAGATGAAAAAATAAGATTTCTTAGTGACATCAAAACTATTGAGATTACGTGATATTATTTTTCATTTTGTGTCAAAAAAGAACTAAAGGTTTTGTTTTATCAAGCAAGCCTTAAAATAAATCTATCCTAACAGCAGAAGCAGAGTTTGTTCTGCTGATGTGTGTTCCTAGATTCTCTCTCACACTATTTTAGATATCTATATTTATATATGCTTAAAGTAGGATTTCTTCACAAATAGTAATGGATTCCTCAAAATGTGCTATCACATGCAAACACAATTTATTGTAAGCCTTTTATCATTTATACACGGACGGCTAATGGTTATGGGAACACTGAAAGTACAATAAAGAAAATTCAGATCAGGACACACAAAGAAAAGCACTTTTATCTTTGAATTAGAGAGCAGTGTGAAGGTTAACAACAGCAACAACCTACCTTTACACGTCCTTCCATCGGGGCTGATCTCATAGCCGCTGTTACAGTAACAAGCGGGGCCCTGTGGAGTGATCGCACAGTGTTCCTGACAGCCAGTCAGCGAACAGTTGGATATATACACTGAAGGGAAACAAAAAGAGACGACATGGAAGAAGAGGTGATATTAGTGAACGAATAAACCCTCTTAACAATAGCCAGGATTTATTAGATGCTGTGACAAAAATATAAGCAGTTCAGTAAAAACGTTAATGATAGCAGCAGCACGGGGAAATGTAATAATTATAAACGAGTCTATTTGATTTTGATCCACCTGGCTTTATTCATTTTCCTGATTAAAGTAGAAAGTAAAGTTTGCTGGTGCAGGAAGTATCAAACACAGGTGCTTCCCAGCAGAAAGTTGGACAGGCGATGGCAAAAGGAACAGACGGATAAATGCTGCACTGTTGCATAATATTCCCATCAAAGCATAAATGTCACAGTGACATTAGCTCTTTATAGCCGTCTGATATCAAATCTGTTCACTTTATCTGGTGATTTGAGTAAAATCATGTTTCTAAGAGGCCACCCGGACTTTATGCACAGAATGCTTTTATCATTCCATCCTGATTGTTTTCTCTGAGTAATTATTTCTTTGGAGAAGGCTCAGGGCTGTCTCAGCTATGTGGACCATAATAATAGATAATATAATGCAGCTGTCACCAGCATGGAGGAAAGATAAATTGGAGTCTAATCAGTTTGTCATAAACTGACAGGAGATATGATAACTTTTTTTTTTTTTAAGCAAAGGGAGCAAAAGAAAAACCATTAATTTCAAAGGAGAAATATATCTTCTGCTTAGGGGGAAGGAAGGAAGGAAGGAAGGAAGGAAGGAAGGAAGGAAGGAAGGAAGGAAGGAAGGAAGGAAGGACAACGGTGACGATATATTTCGTTGATGCTCCTTTTTTTATTGACAATAACAAGAACTGTTGAGCTAAACATAAATCTATGATGACAAAAACATGACGAGTCATGGATGTCAGTTTTTTTTGACGGGACGAGACTAAATGCAAATGTTAGCGGGTTGTCTGTCACACGTTTAAAATGCATCATCATGCTAAGCAGTAGCAGGTCATGTCGTCAACCTGGCGGGCAGCGCTGTACATTCTGCATAACCACAGATGGACCGTGGCAGCAGCGGCAGGGGTGAAAGTAGTCTGGAATGGTCTGGTGTTCTGTCAGATGAGCATACCCGCTCAGACCAGCATACACAAAGTCAATACCCGTTTGTCCCTTTAGTTTATTCCTTTAGTTTTGTACGAAAAATAGACTTTAAACGACCTCAACGGGCGTGCAAAAAATCTATTAAATTATTTACTTTTTGGTGTTTTTTGAAGCGTATGTTGATCTGACCTTAAATTGTTTTTTTTTTAGCGAATGACTAAAGGGATACACGCCCGTTGAGGTAGTTTAAAGACTGTTTTTCATACAAAACTAAAGGGATAAACACAAATCTGACCTCTTGTGCATGCATATTGACTATGGGTATGCTAGTCTGACGGGGTATGCTGATCTGAGAGAACACCGGCTGTACTAGTGTTGAAATGTGTTGTTGCTTGTGCTTAGCTCCGAGTCTGTGCTTGTACACTGTTTCTTATTTTTTTTGCTTTGCTGTTTTCTTTACACTGGTCAAGTTAGCAAAAGTTGTTTATTTTATTCTGAAATTCCCCAGAACTCTGTCCCATCTGGTGCACTAGTTCCTGTTGCGTACTTTCCTGGCTGATGTATCCTCTGGTGTATGTCCCAGGAGCATTACGCAGCCTTAGTAGCCTGAGACAGACTGCACAGTGGATAATTTCAGCATTCACACTGACTTTAATGACTTTGGGTTCCATGCAGCATCAACACTGCTGCAGAACCTCTCTTTAGACTTATTCATACCCCAAAATATATTAAAATCAAATCCCATTTAGGGTTGAAACACTGAATTTGATCACTCATAACTAATTATTTCTTGAAATAATTGTCAATTTGGGAATCAAATCGTTCACCTATACGGATTAAAACATCGGATTTGCTGAAAGACTAATATCCTCAGGGTGCAATATCAGCTAGAACTGTACAAAAAATATCAATTAAGATGCTACATTTTTTTAGTCTATGCTTCATCGAGAACTGTACAGTTTTAGTTTCACCACGTTCAGATCTGGTAACATAAATACATAAATGAACAAAAACAAAAACAAATTAAGTACTTTTTGATACCAAAACCTGACCAAAATACATACTTTTATATACTAGGAAATGTGACAGATATTTGTTCCTTTCTACCAGCAACCAAATTTTTTTAAATGAAAAAGGAGACAATAGAATAAAGGAAATAGAGAGCTCAGGCTTGTCTGGTTCAAAGTGTTTGTGTTTAAAACATTTTCTGCATGATTAACTTATATAAAAAGCGACTTTTTATGGAAAAGGCATATAATATTCTAACCTACCAAATGCTGCATTCAAGCAGTCATATGCGGTTTTGAAGTAACTGATGCTGTGATGGTGATTGCATTTGATGTTATTTTTCTGCTCTACTTGAAGTTAAATGCACAAGATTAATAGAGTCAGTAAATAAAGCCCTAGATATAACGAGAAACCTCCAACATCCTGCTAAAGTGGACTGTATGGCATAGACCAGGGTCACTCCAATCCAGCCGGCGAAGCCCATAATAAAATCCTAAAGCATTGGACATCCTGTGATGTTCATTAGGACAGTGACTCATAGTCAAACACAGAGTTATATCAAACCCACTTAAGATCCACTTGCAATAAGTGATTCACTTTGCCCAGGAAGGCTGGCCGACCATCCTTCAGACAAAAACAACATCCTATCTTGAGGAAGAGATGAGATCAAAATCCTCTTCTTCACTCCAACAAGCTCCCGACATAGAAACTCCAAACTTCTCTCCTACAAACTAAATGTTAGACTCTATTTAAACAATAAAAAAGTAATCTTTTGTTTTTATCTATAACTCTTCCATCTGCTCAAAGATAGAACTGAATCTCAGCTGATTTACAGCTTATAACTAGTGATCTGCTCATTTTTCTGCAACACAAGAGGAGTACACAGGTTTTACAGCTGCACTCCAGAGGTCTGCTGGGAAAACCACAGTTCAAATTACAGACAGGACCGAAATCTTCCAAAACAAGTCTGAGCAATGAGCAACAGAGACGGTTTTAGAAAACCAACAAAGGGAACAATGTAAACAGCCCTCTGTGACACATGAAGCAGATACTTGTTTTAGAGCGGCTGAAATGACATGCTATTTTGGTTTCAAAAGCAAATCCTCTTTATCATGCAGAAGACCCTTTAGTTAAATACTTGCACACATAAAAGTAGGGTCGGACATTATCATGTCCTGAAAATCTTAAGACTGATCTGAATTCAGAGAAACCCTTAAGCTGCTTGTATTGTGTTTCTTATCTCTGCACAAATGTAACAAGAAATGCTTTTTATGTGGGTCTTAATGTGAGGAAATTAAAGCTATTCTTTACAACCTTTGACATGACACTGATATGAACTCTGAGAGTCCCTTGCAATAATCCAATCTTTTGTGGCGAAGGGTTTGGCAGTGGGTTAAATTCATAACATGCATTTGGATAATTCCCATTTTTCTAAAATATTTTTCCATTTGGTTTAATGATCATCTTGGGCTGGAAGCATTTTGCTTCTGTGCTTTATTTTTCCCTGTGACCAAGAACAGAAGAGCAGGTATAGAAAATAACGTAGCTGCATTAAAAACATCTATGTACCGAGAGGGTATTGGTTTTGTTTTTATAGAAATAAGATTTAAGCGTAACATATTCATCGTTTGAGGTCTACCTTTTAGTGATTTAACTCAAAAGCAAAATAAAATGAATTTTCTAACTATAGGAAAGAAGTGGTAAAAATATATATATTTGTCTCTTTTTTTTCTTCCAAAAAATGTTTACTTTGAGTTTAACTGTAAGGTCTTAGCTACAACTATTTTAATAGGATTTTTTATTTTTTATTTAATACAGCTATAGAATGTCTATATAGCACGTAAATAATTATTTTAAGGAATTTTTACGAGTCCGAGGTTCATAAATGTTTAATTCTGGTTCAGACGCCAATGTCGTCAGGAAAGGAATCTGCACTAAGAGGATTAGAAGGTTGAGTTAACGCAACATGGAGCTCAGCGAGCATCCGCCCTGATAGGTGCCCGCTGAACCTAACGAAGAATTATAATGGACACCTATTTACTGATGTATATTTATCCTGCAGGAGATATGGAGGTTTACAATAACAAGCGTCTCAAGGGTCATCATGAAGAACAGAAGCTGCGTTTACATGGACACAAATAATTGGACAGAAGATCTGATCAGATCAAAAATGTTTCATGTTAACATGTCCGACTGAAGATTCTTATCTGATTTGTTAGGATTGGAAATACATTTTATGCTAAAAGAGGTTGTGTTGGCTGATTTCCATTCCGATTGGTGTCCACATACACACCCATTTGGAAATGTGGAGTAAAATAACTGCGCATAATATGACATTTTTTCCTTTTACTCTTGACCCTCATTCCCTGGCTTCTGGTCCTTGGTGGAGGAGGTGAATCTAAATGTAATGTGATGACATGTCTTGTTAATTGGCGCTATATAAATAAACTGAATTGAATTCATTCTAAACATACAGCTCTGGGTTGATTAAAGGTGTAGTATTAAAAATAGATTAATCATAGCAATTGATCACTAATGCACCATGAAAGAATTTAACTAAACTAATTAAACAAAGACCATTTCATTGTGTTTAAAGGATGTATTAGTTAGCCTACAGACACCTTTGTATTTTTTTCCCCTGTTGAAAATCTTAAGGGCTGAGGGAACAATCCTTGCAGGAATTCAAGCATAATTAGACATGGTGTCTAGAAACAGTTTTGGAGTGGAGAGGGGTTGATTGCTTTAGTTTCTTTTCAAAACCCAAAGAAAAAAAATAAAGCAGGTAAAATAAGTATTGAACACAGCACAATTTAAATATACGGTATATCTAGATATAGAGGTGCTATTGACATGACATTTTCACCAGATGTCGGTAACAATCCACACATATGCAGAAATCAAACCATAGATGTGTAGAAATGAAGTTATGTGTAATAATGCGGCATGGCAAAGGGAAAACTAGAGATTAACTATAGATTTGTTGCAGTATACGGAGCATGCTGGACCATTGTATACTTAAGGAAACATACAGTATGATAGTACATCATTAGGAAGGCAAGCTACTATACGGTGGTGTGGCTACGGAATAAATTTTCTTGAGATTTTTCAAAATCCTCCTATTTTTCCAGTGAAAATTTGGTCTAACATGGGGAAAGATACGTCTCATTGCTTTTGGCTTTGTGAATCTGGCCCTTCCTCAGAAATACAAATGAAATGTTAAAAAAGAGAAGAAAATATGATGTTCTAAACAGCTATTTGTATTTAAAAGCACTATTAGGGTTTTATATGTACAAAGTGAGTAATGCAAAACTGAAGAAAGCCTAAAAAGTATCTACGTCTACTGATTTATTGTGCCATCTTTGATCATTTCCTCTTTCTGACCTTTAAAACACAGGGTATGCGATAGGGGAAGTTTTTTCTTTCTGTATAATCTATTTCTATCAGTTCTTCGTACTTTGGTTCTTATTTGTTCCAGCTTCAGTCAGCAAAGTCAGCAGTTTCTTAAAAAGAAAAATTACAGTTCCTGGAGTCATCATAAACAGGTTCCTAATTTTAAGTTTCGGAACAGTTAGTTCCTTCCTTCATGCTGAATAAATGCAATATTTGGTTTTGTTCTATTGTGGGAATATCCGGTGTTGAAGGCTTCATGCCTCTGGGGCTTAGTTCATAACATTATGCATTAATAAACACATAAATTGTCATTTTTATCTAGGATATCTTTCACATGGACATTTAAGACTTCACAAACCTCTGCAGTGAGGTCCCTCATCCCAGCCGTCAGTGCAGTCTGAGACCCCGTTGCACAGTTTGCTCATATGGATGCACAGCTCGGTCCCCCCACACTGGTACTCGTTGGGTGGGCAGCGTGAAACAGAACTGTGTGGACCTAAAGGAAGATGACCAGAAAAGCATTTAACATAAAAGAAAAAACAGAAGGGTTATGTTGAAATTACCATATTTCAGTGACAACATACTTTTAGTTTTTAGAAATAGAGCTGAAACGTTTTTGAATTTAAATAGAACGAGATGCATGAGTGAATGTTTCGTTTCAGTCAAATCGCTGTGTTCTAAAGCGCAAAAAAATAAATAAAATAAAATAAAAAAACAACCCGTGTTCGTAAACCCCTCTCGGCTTCCCCATCTCCATGTTATTCTGGACTTAGGCACATCCAACTGAAGTGCAAATCTTTAAGGTATAGTGGAGGATTTTCACGAATTTCTGAAAAGACTTTAATAAAAAAAATGCACATGCACAACCCTGTACCCGCTCCTGAGATAGAATGTCTATTAAACGTGTGCGAGAGCGTGCACATGCCCATTTCTCCTCGTGAACACTCTGTTTAAATATTGCCGTTTGCATCGCTCATACAAGCTTACTTTCCAAAAGAAGATTTGCAATTTTTCCACTGTGTCACTCACCACTGGTAAGTGAAAATGGTGACAAGCACATAGGACGGCCTTAAATGAACATATCACCAGAATGATTGACAATTAGGGGGACCACTTATTTTGATGATCCACCCGGAAAAAGAACATATTCCACTATACCTTTAAGTAAACTTTTAAAAGAAAAAGAAAAAAGGGAAATGTGAATTTGCTGTTTTCATTTGGTGTAAAGCAAACTAGCCAAGCCCCCAAAGCAAGTTGTGGGTTAGTCTGCTCGACACAGCTTTGACCATTTTGAAGGAGAAGTGTCGCCGAGAAGTGTTTCAAGCACACCGCAGTCACGTGACCGGGGCCTCATCACGTCACACTTCGTATCGCACGTCACACTAAATTGAAATAATCTGAGCATTTCAATACTACTGAAGTATTTAAATGTCAAATTTCAAATCCGACTCACGGCTTAAACCGCAGGTTTTCCCGTTTATAATTTTATTCAAAGACAGGGAAAGACATTTTATATTTAGTTCTAATTTAGAAGTGATTCAGAATAGTTTGCTTCATGCACATAGATCTAAAATAGACATAGATAAACATATTACAGACTCATACATCTCTACCCAACACAGTCATTCCACTATTTAATATTTAACAGATATTTATTCACACGGCACATCTTAACAGTTAGGCTCTAAAATATAGATATGATTTGGTTAGAAAAACAAATAAATAAGAGATTAGGCTAGTTTAGTTGCTACTTGTGTGTCTTGTGGTAAAATGTGTGTGACTGAGGAAAGTGAGGAATGAATGAGGGAGAGGCAGTACCATAGATAAACTGCTGAATTATTTAGTTATTGATGCTTCTCCTTTAATACAATCATCTTCATCAGTCAGAACCACAGCAGGAAAGTGGGGAACCTGTGGGAACTCCTGGGCAGCACAGTCGCTTCCAATCATTTAAACGATCAGTATTATTTAAAGGATAATTTAGTAATGAATGTATATGTATTTATATAAAACAACATATTTTGTCGTTTTTCTCCCCATGGCTTATATTAATGAGTTCTTTAGTTATATCCAGATTAATACTAGCCAGCAGTTGGTTTAGTACATAATGTTTAAGGGTAAATTTTCCAAAGAAAAAAACTCACTACGATCTGTGACAGATTTGGACCTTAGGCAAAGAAGACAAATGAATGGCACATCACAATTAATAGGCAAATTACTTTACTCCTGATAGCAACCAGTGATGAAAAATATCCGTAGCTGTATGTATTTTATCATTTTCTCTTAGCTATTTATCTTTAGAAGCAAAGCAATGGCACAGATGAAATGCAATTTGTTTTGTGACTGAGAAACTGAACGTTATTTCATTTCATGATCCATCTGACAGAGTATCTGATCAACGGCATTTTCTGTTTGCCTTCTGGTAATGCATCTAATCCTCTTTTTTTAACCTAATTTACAAAACACATACATTGTTCATGCTGAGTGACAAGTTAGCCTCTTGGCTAAATCTGTGAAGACGGGGATTTTTTTTTTCAAGGAAAACTTTTGATTGAGAAAGTCTAACTAAGAACCAGAGGGTATATTTATATATTCATACATGCTGCCTAAAAGCCTTTTGTTAGATTAGATTAATTTCCTTCAAGCAGGCTGAAATAAAGTGGCTGTCTGATGGTGCCCTGCCAGGCCCACCTGGGCCTCCCTTCAGGCATCGAGAGCAGGATTGATAAAAGACTTCTGCGCAGCAGCCCTGAAAAGCAAGTGTGTCTTTATTTTACCCCTTGTTCCTAACATCCTTTCAGTGAGAGGTACCAGAGTTTTCACTGCCACCTTTGGTGCTCTGGTGTTATTTTTTCTCCTTAGGTAAAAAAATGTCTTATTGTTTAATGTAGATCCACACATTTTAAGGCAATTCATAAGACCAAAAAAGACATGCGTATTGTGTAAATTCAAACTCACAGCAGTTATATTTTGCTTGCAGAATATTTTCTTTGTAGTTTTTTCTTGGCTTTAAAACTTTAATAACCTATGATAAAATCTGTCACACCAACAGGAACTTCCCTAGGCTCATAGTTTCTAGTGAAATCACAGAACACTGAAGTTCTTCTCATAATTTTTTGTCATATTTTTGTTTATTTTCGTGCTTTTAATCAATTATATATATTCTAACGGAAGTATTCTGCAAACTGCAGAAAGACAATAAGCCTAAATTTCAAAAAGCAGTGGGATGTCAGGAAAATCTGGAAACCAAGTCACAGAAGCATTTTGCAAAGAGAATTAGGGCTGCATGGATTGGAATGAAAACTAGCACAGAGTCTAAATCAAAGGTTATATGCCATCATGGCAGAGGTAGAGAAATGTTAGAGGTCTGAATCTCAACCTCTGCACTTTGACCAGATGTTTTGAAGACAGTAAACAAAAAAAAAACTACCGTAGCATACCAGCTCATATGGTTATTTACGGCTGTTGTGATGTTACTGTAACAAGCACATAAAGAAGAAATGAGAATTGTGTATGTGTCCTTGTTTATGTTAACTATTTAGAACTGTTTTAGGTCTATTTATCAACCTTCTGGGGTCTAGCAGACCTTGTGGGGACCAAAGGCTGCTCCTATTGCAGCAGACCCCCCTTTCTGATGTAAGAGAGCTGATTGAAGGTATACAGTACAGTGAAACAACTTTAGGTTAAATGTTATTGTTAAAAAAAAAACACAGCTTGAAATATATTTCATCAATAAAGAAACATAACTTCTTATGTTTCTTTGACTATCACAAAAAAAATAATAAAACCACCATGCTTGTTATTAACATCATGCAATTTTGATTTAAATTGTAGATTTATACAATGCTTCTGTCTTTCCTGTTGCCCTGCTAAACAGGCAGATTCATAGGACAGATATTCCAAGATGCAATGCAGCAGTAAAAGAGATCTGCTGGAGAAGACCGACTGGGGTAAAAACCACACCATTATTACATGGCTCGTCCAGGCAAATGGCCATCTACCCTGTATCTATGTGTATGTGTACACACGTGTAACCCAGTAGTAAAATACCAGCAACAAACATATCAATGCACTGACATATATGTTTGGTACATAACTACATTCTCGGATGGAGCTTTATGGTTCTGCAAGAGAATATAAATAAGGGTGAATGTGTTCCTCCAAATAAAAATACAGTAAATACAACTGGTTCAAGTAAAAACAGGTTTTCTCTTCATCATCATATTCCTAAACTCTTTTCTTTCCAGGATGGATTTTCCAGTCTTGTGACTTTCGGTGGAATTTGATCCACAGCAATGTGATTCATCCCATTCTTTCTCTAATAAGTCTACAATGTGCTTGTCGAACTACTCTCTGCACACTCCTCTCCTCCAAAGACTAATGCAACTATTTAAAACATTAATAAAATCATATGTTTAGTTGCATGTTGGTAATCCTACGAAAATATTTATCATTTTGGGTATGACACCTCAGAGTAAGATATAAAATATGTGTTTTTTTTTCTTTTGGTACATAACACCATTGTTTTGCATTTGTAATGAAAACAACTGAAACTTTATTTTGAAAAAAAAAAAGAGCGCCTCGTTAACTCTCTTAATTTGAGCTAAAACCAGGAGGAATTTAGCCTAGCATAAATTTAGCATAAAAATATTTTATGCTAGGCTAATTTTGCTATCTGAAAAAAAACACCAAAACTACCTCTCTAACTAAAAAAAGAAACTTTAAATGCAGTTTACGCTCTTTAAGGAACAAAAGAAGGACAGTATTTGTGAAACTCTTTTCAATTTTTGCACCTAAACTTTGGAACGGATCACATTTTCATGTACAGACCATGGAGACAGCTGAGACTTTGCTCCAAACTCGTTTCGATTCTTTGGTATTGGATTCAAAGAAAGTTTAATTTTCTCTTATAAGGACTGTTTTACTTTGAACTTTATTTTTGAAATGCATTTTATTATTGTTATCTAGTACCATCACCATTATTTTGGGACTGAGTGCTGGCTGGAATGTTAATTTGATTAACCTATCTAGCTCTTCCCTATTCCTCATCACTCATCACATCCACCTGTTCCTGTTTTCTATTTAAGCTGCCTTTTTCCCAGCCATCAGTGCCAGATTATTCTTGAGCCTTTGGAGTTGAGAGTTCTCAAGCGTTTCAACCTAATCACTTTCAGATCCATTTCTGTATTTGGACCTTTGAGCCTGCCTGCCCCTGTCTGATTAGTTTGCCTGCCTGTCTTCGGACTCTTGTTGGATTCATCTGTGGACTGAACCTGGATCTGCCTCTTGAATTCCCCCGGTGGATTATTCTGCCTTCCTTCGTCATCTCAAATCTGATCACCTGCCAGCGCTGCAGCCTTCTAGGCTTCAGTGTCTGGAATTCCCTTGCAGCATCTGCTCTGTCTTGTCAGCCTATCCGGCTGGAATTATCCCCTTTCTATGGGCACTGACTGAACAACCAAACCAGGTTAGTGACTCACACGCTCATGATCTTCT